ATGGGTTCGATCCCTGGGTTGGGAAGATCCCCTGGAGAAGGGAAAGGCTACCCACTCCAGTATTCTGGCCTGGAGAATTCCAAGGACTATACCGTCCATGGGGTTGCAAAGAGTTGGACATGACCGAGCGACTTTCACTTCACTTCACTATGCTGAGGTCAGAGCCCTTCAGGGTGTTGGTTTTATGTGGGAATCTAATTCCAGTTTTAAACCTGGCATAGTCCTGGCTTACACCTGCCATTCTGACATAATTATTGATAAAGCCTCCTCTCACTCTCAAAAATGTTCCAGTTTAGATAATTTGTATAATCTCTTAATCCTTAGGCAGAGGTGTTCTTAGTGTTCTGCTGCTGCTAAGTTGCTTCAGTCGTGTCTGCCTCTGTGCGACCCCATAAATGGCAGTCCACTAGGCTCCTCTGTCCCTGAGATTCTTCAGGCAAGAATACTGGAGTGATTTGCCATTTTTTTCTCCAATGCATGCTAAGTCACTTCAGTCGTGTCTGACTCTGCGCGATCCCATAGATGGCAGCCCACCCGGCTCCACTGTCCACAGGATTCTCTAGGCAAGAATGCTGGAGTGGGTTGCTATTTCCTTCTCCTCTTAGTGTTCTAGAGGAGGAGAAAAGCCAGACTGGCTAATTTATGGAGGTAAAAGTGGTTGGAGAAGAGCTTAGAGAAAATAAGGGCCCTTTTATGAAGTACTTTCTAGGTAAGGGAAAGGTATTGGTATTTATTCCAAATATAATTGGAAGCCACTCAGGGGGCTTCCCTAGTGGCTCAGTGGTAAAGAATCCTCATATAATACAGGAGACACAGGTTCGATTCCTGGGTTGAGAAGATCCCCTGGAGAAAGAAATGGCAACCCACTTCAGTATTCTTGCCTGGAAAATACCACAGACAGAAGAACCGGGCAGGCTACAGTCCAAAAAGTCACAAAAGAGTTGAATACGACTTAGTGACTCAACAACAACAACATATTTTAAGCAGCTTCTGACTGCTTTGTTTTACCTGACTACCTAGATGTGTCCCCTATCCCTTGTGTAGTTTAGTGGCCAAAGATTTGGGCAGTTTGTACTCAGAATTTCAGACTTACCCTTTCAATGATTTTTGTTTTATCTCAAGGCTTCCCCCTGAATTTTCAGTTCTTTGGTCAACTTTGAGCTCTTTCTTCTGGGGTATATTAAGCCAATAATTTTTCTGATTTCTGCCAAATGCACAAACATCACCCACCACAGATTTATCATCTTTCATTTACTGGAGGATTCCCTTATTGTTTCTGTCTGCCTTTTTTCCAGAGCCCCAGAGTTTTCATTTGTATGTAGTGGTCAGCCAGGATTTGGGGCAAAGTATATCCTGGGGTTTGAGTTCCCATCCCCTCAGTGACTCTCTTGCTTCCAGGATTCCTACTCCTAAGATTCCAGATTATTATCCACTTTGAGCCATTAATGCTGTGATATCAGACACAGAAATTCTAGGTTTGGGAGACCACCTTTAGAAAAGAAAGCCACAAATGCAATTTTAACCTGTTGCTGCTGCTATCTTTCAACAGTAAACTTTCCTCATTTTTGTCTGCTTTCAGTCATTTCCCATTGGTTTCAAATTGTCTAACTATCTATATGTTTTGGTTCAAATTTTATGATTAATAACTACAAGAAGATATATACAAATGATTTAATCTGCTGTTACCAATGCCAGTAATGTTTATTGTTATTTGAATTTGTATTTAGATGAACAGCAATTTTGAAAATTTTCTCCATGTTTATTAGCAGTTTCTACCTGTTTCATGAATTTTTCTGTTCATGTCATTTATCCTTTTTTCTATTTGTGTGTTTGTTTTTTCCTTATCTGTAAGAGTGCTTTACTTATTAAAGATAATAAGATATTAACTCATTAGATAGCACTGTTAGTTTGAGAATCAAATGAAATGTGTTTTAAAATTTAAGGTTTTAGTTTTATGGCAGTTGTTATATTGGCTTTTGATGTTCATATGGGATCATTTAGTAGAAGAGACAAGGTTAGGAGTTTGCTCTTATTAGAGATGCCACTGCATAGAGAAGGGAGCTCTTGCCTTTTCATAAGGCAAAGTCTTGTGTTCAGGTTGTATGATGTGCAGGGCAGCATTGGTAGTGATCTTCCTAAGTGAAATCTTCTCAGACATATTATTTATGTACTTATTGATTACCATGACATTATTTCTCAATCATAGTCATTTGCCCTACTTGCCAGTAACTACTGTCAATAGGTTGCTGCTTCTCTGCATTAGAGGAAATACTGCAAAGCAATTAATATTTGCTAAGGGCACTGTGGATCTTCACCAGAACTCTGCTGAAATGTTGTTCTCTCTTTTTGTCCTTAGGAGTACACCATTGATGTATTTTTTCGACAGACATGGCATGATGAAAGACTGAAATTTGATGGACCCATGAAGATCCTTCCACTGAATAATCTCCTGGCTAGTAAGATCTGGACCCCTGACACCTTCTTCCACAATGGCAAGAAATCAGTGGCCCATAACATGACCACACCTAACAAGCTGCTCAGACTGGTGGACAATGGAACCCTCCTCTACACGATGAGGTCAGAGAGTGCCCGGCTCATCTAAAGTATCATGGGGGTAGGACCAGGGTTGAAAGCAAACTTACAAATTATAAATGCACATAGAGACATACATTTCCTAACACAGTTACAGGTGTGTGCACTTATAGACATAATATTATATATACACATATAAACACAGGGTTGGCTAACAAGCACATGAAACTGCTCATCATCACTCACTAATTATCAGAGAAATGCAAATCAAAACCACAATAAGGTATCATCTCATACTGATCAGAATGGCTATCATTAAAAAGTCTATAAATTAATAAGTTCTGGAAAGGGTGTGGGGGAAAGAGAACCCTCCTACACTGTTGGTGGGTATGTATATAGGACAGTTACTATGGAGAGCAATATGGCGGTTCCTTAAAAAACTGAACATACAGCTACCATATGACCCATCAATCCCACTCCTAGGCACATACCTGGACAAAATTATAATTTGAAAAGATACATGCACCCCTATGTTTATAGCAGCACTATTTACAATAGCCAAAACATGGAAACAACACAAGTGTCCATTAACAGATGATTGCTTTAAGAAGATGTGATACACACACATACACACACACAATTAATGGAATATTAATCAGCCATAAAAATATAATGAAATACTGCCATTTGCAACAGCATGGATGGACCTAGAAAATATACTAAGTGAAGTAAGTCAGACAGAGAAAGATAAATATTATATACTATCACTTATATGTGGAATCTAAAAAATAATAAAAATGAATCTCTATACAAAACAGAAATAGACTCACAGACATAGAAAACAAACTTATGTTTACCAGAAGGGTTGAAATGGAGGTGAAAGGGATAAATAAGGAGTTTGTGTTTGAGATTAACAGATACACACTACTATATATAAAGTAGATTAAAAAAAAACAAGGACTTATTGTTACAGCATGGGAAACTATACTCAATATCTTATAATAATATATATATTATATATGTACATACATATATATACATATGTATACATATATATACATATATATATATATGTAACTGATCACTGTGCTGTACACCTGAAACTAACACAATATTTCAAAGCAACTCTATTTCAATGAAAAATAGAGAATTGGCCATATGAACATTTTTAGACACACAGAGATATACTTTCACAATGTATAAATGTTTACGTATACTCAGAGACATGTAATACACAGGCATATACACAGTCAAAGTGAAAGTGAAGTGAAAATGAAAGTTTCTCAGTCATGTCCGATTCTCTGTGACCCCATGGACTATAGCCCACCAGGCTCCTCTGTCCATGGAATTCTCCAGGCAAGATACTAGAGTGGGTTGCCATTCCCTTCTTCAGGGGATCTTTCTGACCCAAGGATTGAATCAGGGTCTCCTGCCATGCAGGCAGATTCTTTACCATCTGAGCCACCAGGGAAGCCCTGTACAAAGTCAAGGGTACTTAAATGCACAGACTCACAACCACATACACAGGCATGAACACAGTGACAGAATAGCATCTAGGTTTACCTGCAGCAATAGTCTATCTGTATGGTGCAGAACTATGAGAATCAAGTGAGATGTTAGCTATTTTCTGAAAAATACAATGTTATACATATAAATGCAAAATTGTAGCAACATATTTGTCATGCCACATTGCATGGGAATGCTGAGAAATATATGAATTTCCAAACAACTTAATAATATATATGTTATATATATACATAAAGAATATATATATTATATATATATTAAGAATATATATATATACTTTTCCACATATATACATATGTGGAAATATATATATTTCATACTTTTCTACTCCTAAAGTATAAAAACTATAACAATTTTTATGTTTTTCATGACTCATTATTATCATTAGAGTTTTTAGGTAAGGAAATTTTGCTTTTAAAATGAATAACTTTAAATGCATTTCCAGTTCAGTAAGATTCTTTGCTCCAACACTGAAAAACTTTCTTGGTTCTTGTTTTTTGATTTTACTAGTTTCTCTGCTGTCATTTGTCACTTCCTAAAGCTCTCTCCTACATTAACGGGTATCAATTTTAACTTAGTGAACATTTATTGAATGGGAAATAATGTGATCTTTCAGCACAGGCTCTGTGGTATATCAATTTTATGCATTTGTTATTATACACAATGAATCTCAAATAATACAAGCCTGATAAACATGTGATGAATACATGAAGTGTGCCTGCCTATATGGTATATGCTAGTCTTTCTTTACTTTAAAATTACTATTTATTTTTTCTGAGAGACAAGAAGATGGACAAGGAGAAATAGATAGTAAGTGAATTGTTAAGAGAAAAGTTGAATTAATGAAGAGGAGCTGAGAGAGTAGAGGAGAGAATCATGGAGAAAAGGGAAATGGGTAGAAGTGGGAAGAATAATGTGGAGATGAGGTCAATAAAATTAACATATATATTTATTTTATTGGTGTACTCCCAGATCTTTTCTACACACACACATAAATCATTCAAGAACAAATAGGTAAAGAAAAGAGAAGCTATGAGAGGAGAGAAATAGAATAGAAAATTTGGTAAAAGAAAAAAAAGGGGGGGGGAGATAAAATTAAAAGGCTAGATATTAGAATATCCTAAAAGAAAAAGGAGAATTTGGAGAAAAGTATGAGGTGAATGAGAAGAAAGAAAAGAAGACATAGAGAAGTAGAGCAAAGACAGTGGAGGGAGAAAAATTTTTGATGGAAGATTAGTAGTAGTCATTAATTCATTTATTTATTCACCAAACATGTTTTGACTTCCTAATACATACATGGCCCTGGACTAGGTTCTGGGTATGCAGACATTGATGATATGATCTTAAGACAATTAGTAGGGAGATGCCTAGTACATAATCACAGAAAAATTAACTGAAATGATAAAGTTATGAGTAATTATGAAAGAAAAGGGTCATCTAACTCATTTTTTTGGATCAAGTTGAAAAGAGAGTCGCTGGATGAGATTAACACCTACATTCCTGATTATTAGTATTGGCATTCAGTTTTGTTTTATTGGAAATGTAGTCAAGAAAACTGTAGGTGGAAAGTGGAGGGAAGAGAGGAGGGACATCCAGGCAGAGAAAACCAATTGAGCAGTTGCAGGAAATTGAATGGTATATTATAAACAAGAAAATGAAGTGGTCAGGTTTTTTAATGTTATATATGGTACCCTAGTTACTGAGCAAAGGGTGCATTTTAAGGGAACAAGACTGGAAATAGGGAAGCTGGTTAGGAGGCAGCTTAAACAGTTTAGATGAGGAGTGGTGAAACTCCAGTTCAGAGCAATGGATTAAGATGGAGAAGGGGAGGTACACTGAGGAAATAGTAGAAACTACCGATGTCAGAATGAGAGCAAAGAGGAGGAGCCAAGGTAGAAGGTACCCAAGGACAATGGTGAATGATGGTGTTACAAACTGGGGTACATCACGTGAGATTCAGGAAAAGTTTAGATAGAATAAATCTGTGAGGCTAATTGTGGGCAAGATAAGTTTAAGAAGATTGTAGATTATCCAGAGGCAGAAGTCTAATAGCCATTGAATATTCAAGTCATAAGACCAGGATAGAGACACAAGCAAGAGAGGTAAAGTTTGGTATTGTCAGTATGATGGTACAACCATGTATGTGGGTGTGATCACTTCCGGAAAGTATATACAGTGAGAGGAAAATCATGCCAAGCATTCAATCATGTAGCATTACTATCATTAAAGCAGAAGGGAAGAAAGAAGAACCTATGAAGGAGAACAAGAAGAAAAAGAAAAGAAGGTGTTAATAGAACTACTAGTGTGTAATATCTTGAAAGCTAAGTGTGGTGGTCAATACTGCTACTTCCATTATTTCCAGTTCGCTTCCCTCTGGGTATGTGTTAGTTAGTATTTCACTTTCATAGAGCCTTGGACAAATGACTGGCTTTGGCTAACCAAATGTGAGTGGAAATAACATGTGTGATTTCTGAGGAAGGATTGGAAACTTTATTTAAGATGTACATTTTAAAATGTTCATCTCTGTTCAAAAGTTTTGTGATTAGTGGAATCTGTTATAATTGTTTCCATATCAGTACACTTTGGAAACACTATGATCACTCAGGAACTAGAATATTGTTCTTTTTAATTCATAAAACTAAGTATCATTTTGCTCAATCAATTTGCAGCACTGGTGTTAAAGTTCATTTGTCTTTTTAAAAAGTATAGTTGATTTATAATGTGTTAGTTTCAGGTGTACAGCAAAGTGATTCATATATATATATATGATTCATAACTGATTTGTAAATATATATATATATTCAGATTCTTTGATACTATAGGCTATTACAGGATATTGAATAGCATTCCCTGTGCTGTTCAGTAGGTCTTGTTGTTTATCTATTAGAAAGATTGGAAACTTTTAAGAGCCAGCACATGAGTTTCTATGTTCCTCTCCCCTGGCCATGGTGAGTAGCATTATGCCAGGTGATCTTGGCTCTATTATTTTGTGTCCCTTATTGAAGATAACAGAAGAGAACATCCCTCCCCACAACCTGAGATAGATAAATAGTATGAATGAGAAATAAGACTTTGTTGTTTTAGGACACTGATATTTTATGATTATTACTACATATTGATCAAATCCATTTTGACTAATATATCAAAGGAGTAAATAGTTTCAAAAAGATGAAGTCATCAATAATAATAACACAATAATAGCATAATAAGTACAGTAGTTGCCATCAATATAGTGCTTACAATGTGCCAGGGACTGTTATACTCATTCTACTTACTGTTATTCCAACATTACAAATAAGGAATCTGAGACACAGAGCTAGTAAGAACATTTTCCAGTGTCACCTAAGTAGTAAATGGTTGATCCTGCATACTTTGGCAGTTTGGTTGCAAATTTTATGCTCTTTACTATTACTTATGCATCTCTACAATATTGTTGACTATTACAAAGATATCTAGTAATATAGAGAATTGAAAGTATGTATTAGGTTTGGTGGAGAAGGCAATGGCACCCTACTCCA